TTATTATTGGCACTAGTCAGTGCGCATCACTGCGTGCGGGAACGCCCGGTAATATATCTAAATGGAAGTCAATCAGTATTTTGAATTGTTGCTTTTTTGTGAAATAGAGACTGAGACCTCAGAAAATTGGTAGTATTGATTATATATTTTTTCTGCGTGCAGCTCTACTGTCTCTATGATGTAAATGGGCGGAATTCAAGCGAAAGATGAAGAACTCTGAATTTTTCAAAATATAGGAAAAATGAAGTCTTGTCACTATACTGTTAAGCCCTTTTCTTCTTTTATTGAAAACTGATTGCAATTATATATATAATGAATTTACGTATCAATGATCGCATGTGAATAACAAACAAAACCTTTGATCACAAACTTCTAAAAGCATTACGTAGTACATGTCATAAACACATTTTTTAGAATGTACATTCCTTATTCTTTCTTCTCTTTCTTGGATCGTTCTGAATTTTTCCTCCTTTTGATAATTTGCAGTGTCTCAAGAGGGAAAAGAATCTGAATTCGTTTGATTTTTCTTTTCCCTATAAAAAAAAACAATATCAATAAGTATTTGGAATAAAGAAAAATAAAAATGTCTGCTGTACCTGTATCTGCGTCAAGGGTGTTTATTAGTGCAGAAAAGTCTTCTATGTATCGGTGGTTTGTACAGCCTGCCGTGAATGCGTTTCATTATATTGAGCGTCGTTCGCAGCGTAGGCTTGCAATGTTAGAACCTGAAACGATGAAATATGTTCAAGCGCACGAGGCTGACGGCACCGACGCCGCAAAAGCTCTCACAAGCTTCCACATTCAACAGCAGCGGCATCTTCTCCATTATCGTGTCCTACGTTTTTGCACAGAGTTTCGATATTTATTTTCCATGCAGTACTTCAAGAATTATAACGTGAAAGATTTTGTGTGGGATGCTCGCTTTCTGACAAGGGCGTTGTTTTTATTTATCGTGGGGGTGATAGTCGGGCGACAGAGTGTATTCCCGCTGATTGAACCGGATAGTCCGTTTGTACAGGGTTTAACACACAAAATAATTCCCAGCTATTAGAAGAAGCGTGGAGAAAAGTGCAGTAAAATACGATTAAAATTAGTATCGGTATTAGTACCACTTATATTGTTTGCTGCTGCATATCTACCAAGACTTTTGCTTTCCTCACAAAATGTTTTCTGCACATATGTGTTTTATTTCGTTGTTATATTCTAAGACGGGAAAAAAGGATATATTGCAGGTTAATAAAAGGACCCCAACATCCCCTTTGTCAATACCTGATCTTGAGCTTCTTACACGTTGACCTGAAACAAGGAAATCAAAAAGTTAATAAATATGAGTTGAGGGAGATGTTAGAAGGAGAAGAGATATGTATCGATTCTCATATAAGCTGGTTATACGTGTTCAAAGAGGTCTTTCTCCTCTTAATAGTGGACAAAGTTTCCTTGAATTCACGTGAATCAGGGCTCTGTTTTCAAGCTTATGCGCTAAAAACGTATGTGGAGACTAAAAATTATTACAACATAACGATGGCATAAAAATTTGGACCCTTGTACGCATATACCCTTTTTGGATTGCTGAATGGGATTACCTGAATATTGTTTATTTATTTGACGAATTATTTTCCCTTTTATCTTTCAGCTACTACTGTTTATTTCTTATCCTTTGCGATTCAATTCTTTATTATGTTCCACTGTTTTTCTTTACTTTTTTGAATACCATACGGGCATCTCAAGAAATCAATTGACTACCCTCCCCACACAAAATTGAAGAAAAGGTGTAAAACCGAAGTTTAGGTTTGGTTTCTTTACTGGTTGCATTGTTTCCTTAGCTAAGCCGTACAGGTGAAAAAGAAGAAGGAGAAAGGGCGTAAGGTGTGATTAGGGGCTGAGGGGATAATGTCGGTCTACGCTCCCGGGGATCGGCTGTGGGTACGGTTGGAGGGGTTTGACTGGTGGCCCGCGCGGGTAATCGCCGAGGAGGAGTTCGTCCAAGCCGGCGGCGCCGTCGTAGAGGGGATGGATCTCTTCGTGATGTT